TTATGGAGCAGCAGCTTGAAGTTAGCCTCCACAGCCTGTGCTCTGTCCAGATCAGTCAAACGTAGCGTGTTTTCAGCAGACACCACTGTAGCAGGTCCATGATCACAGACACTGACAATCAACTATCAGAGACTTGATTATCAGCAGCTGAGGTCCCCACAAGCTTAAGACAGCTTTGATGCACACATTTCCTTACAAATAAGGAAGGCACAATTTAAAGTAGAAAAGCCTCTTTTGAATGATTTAATTCTAATACCAGGAACGATTGTTATATTTGAAACATGGCTCACCCCATGGTCCTATCCTCTATGTTATCAATTTAAATAAAATAACTCCCGACTTGAGTTCTGCTTAAACTAATAAGAAATGTAAAGTATTTCAGTGATTAAAGAGAAGCTTTAATCAAGTCTGTTAAGAATGATTTTGGTTATTTTATGTCAGTTATGGCAGCTCATTGGTTTATGTTTTGCCTCAGAATACTGACTTGACTTGTTGGGGTCTACTGCAACTGTCTTCTGTTTTCACATTGTGTATTTTTATTTTTGTTTGTTTTCTTGATAAAATAACTGCACTTCTTTGTTTTTCGACTGATGGCAGCATGCACAAAGTGAAGAACCCGTCCAGAAGACCTACACAATTTTTTTCTTTTTGATTTTTTTACCTGGATTACTGAGATGCATCAGGACAGCTTTATTAATGTCTGCTGGAACTCTCAAGGTGGCGAAATCCAATCAGACAAATGGTGTGGACACATACCACCGAGCTGATCCATCAGCTTTCTCCAAGATGAATTCACCTGGCCACTGGGAACTCATCTCCAGCAATCAGTGGTTACAGGAATAAGCTTGTTCAAGAGTTCATACACCACTAGTTGGCAGTGTTGTGCATATTATCGTACATGAATTATTGTCAGCTAGTAAGTGTCAAATTGAACTTGCGCTTTAAAATTAGCTTCTGCTAGTTTTTCTATGGCATAAGCATTTTTGAGGTTGCAGACCTAAATGTTTAAATAAGTGCATTAGATATTGCGGAGTTAGTTTTTGGATTAGCGCTGCCCATCAGTGATCTTACCACAAAAKTCAGTGTAACTTTCACTATTTATTTCAATGTGCAAGTGTTCAGTTTTAAATGTAAAGATAACACAAACCAGAAAGATACTGTGATTCTGTAAAAGTACCTTTATTAATTATTCATGGATCCTTTTTTAATACAAACTTCTTGGTAATTCTTATTTCCCTTTTGCTTTGAAAATGTTTATGACACTAATCTTTTTTTTTGTAACAGAATCTTGAACAACTAATCAGTTTTTACAGACAAACTGTTTTGCATACGTTTTGGGTGGCACAAAAGGTACTTTAAAAGTGACAGACCTGTGCAGTATAAGGGCAAATACACAACTTTTTTTTATTCTAACATGCTCCTCAGCTTCAGGCTCACTGACCTCTCATTGTTTTTTAAAGGTTTGCTTAGTTGACTGAAATGTGGTCTGAATGTGAAACTCTGAAAACTTTTATTTTTATACATTTTCACTGAGATATCTGCTTCTGCAATGTTTCTAACAGGGCATGCATCTTTCATATATATATATATATATATATACATAAGATGTTCCTTTAAATAGAAACAGACACAGTTTTATCTCACTTTTCAAACTGATGCCTGGACATTCTTAACAATTCACAAAGAAAGTCAGGATTATGAGTGTCAGAAACTTAGGTGAGGCTTGTGGATATGTTTTTTGATGTTTTCTGGAACTTTCCATCTTGCCTTTATCCTCTGACAATAGAAAAAAAGTTAGAAAGAAGAGTTTTGGTAATATTATCATGGGTTTGTGCATCAGGGTTGAGATCTTGATGCTTGCAATGAACCYTCTTCACCATTAGGGGTCAGTATTAAGCTGATCTGATGCTCTGAACAAAGGAAACAAATAACAGCCGAAAAAGGTAAAAGCTCCTTTGTAAAAAGAAGATTTTATCCCAAATAAACTGTTTTTGTTCAAAYTTCTATATGTTGTGGAAGAAAGCCGTTTATATTCCTGATTAATAATTTGACACATTACACCTGAAAATCAAGCTTAATTCATATTAAAATAAAATTGATTAATAATTAACTGCCATCGTTGCTTGACCCAGCCCGAGTTTGCATTTTGTTCTAACTGAATGTGACATCACTGGTTGAGCAGAATTTATAAAAATAAAAAGATAAAAGAGTTTTACAGACATTAAATAACACATTAGGTAATAATGTAACAATCAAAGTTTTATCGATTAAAACCCTATAAAAGTGGTCAGTTGATGAACTGAAGGACTGAAGTTTCTGTCACATTTCAGATCTTAAATGTATTGTTTATTAGACATTATTTTTAGCTACTGTTCTTCTGCTTGTCCTCTTGACTTATTTTTATGCACACACAGCTCTATGGTCACAGACTAGAAATATAAAAAATAGCATAAGTGGTCAAATCCCACCTGAAAGGCCTCAAAAATAATAAACACCAATAAATATAATCAAGAAAAGATTTCAGAAGATTCTGGGGCTGTTGGATGGTCCAGTATAAAACCAGTCAGTATCTTACATGTCCTCCATCATTTCAAACTAAGATCCCACATCATCCCACATCTGGCTGAGTTAAAGTCATTTTAGTGTTTAATAAAGTTAATTATCTGCTGCAGACAACTTGAATTGAGTTGATTTTAAAAGTTAATCAAGCTGTAGATATGCAGACAGAGGTAATGTGTTGACAGCCTTTCATCTCATCTAATCAATGCTTGTTTAATTTTAAAAAGTGATTCAGATTAAAGCAAGCGTCCACTATATCTGCACATCTTTAATTTATGATCAAGGAAAAAATGTGAAAATACATTATTGGTTCATTTCTGTTTCACAAATATATTTTAAAACACTGTGGACACATTTGTTTGTGTTTTTCAGTTAATATTTCTATTATATTCATGATTCAAGCTAAGCTTTTGGCCTTATTTTATACCACAAGGGCCTTCGGGTGCTCCATCAACCATTCAGCCTGTTTAAAGACAACAAACATTTTCAGTATGGAGCACAGATTGGTGATAATCACACATCTTATGTGGCATAAAGCTGAGAGCTGTGAGGAGCTCAGAGACAAGATTATAAAAATATTTATGTTAAAGGTAAAAACTATAAGACCATCTCCAAGCAGCTTCATGTTCCTCTGAACACAGCTGACAAGATTATTAAAAAGTATTAGGTTCACGTGACTGGAGCCAACCTCCCTGGATGTGAACGCAAGAGGAAATGCGACCCCAGACTGATCAAATGGAGAAGGAAGAGAAAACAAGAATACAAATCAAAACCATTCAAGCAGAGCTCCTTAATCAGTACCCTTCACTTCCTGGTTGTACATCCTTTAGGATCATAATGGGCTCAATGGAAACAAACCAGGAGTGGTTTTGTTGTGATTATTATAGAAATGGATAAATACAATTATCTACATTTGTACATCTGATAATTACGTTTGATAAGTTTTGTCCACAGGTTTATATTTTGCTAAAGTTCAACACAAATAAACTCAGGTAATCACATGATCACCACACCGTTCAATGCAGCAGATAATAATAAAGGTTTTAAAGGGCCAATATTCAGTGTTTCTCAGGCATATATTTAAATACCATACCATAATAAAGTATCTATGTCACCTTTAACTGTTATTAAAATGCTGTTTTTATGTTTAAATAGAAAATAAACTTATCTTCTCATCACTTCCTCTTCTAAACGCCTTGAAATTGGCCTCTGTCTCTTTAAGATCCTCCTTCTGCTTCTGTCTCGCCCATTTCAGTGCAGGTGGAGGGGGTTGCTATGAGGCAGTTCATTGTCATCTGAAAATACATTTCCTCAAAGGTACTTTTAATCTGAAAAGAGCTTCACTGAGTGAGAAGTAAAGCCTGAAACATACTCCCTCCGAACTGCCGACGTCGGCACGCGTTGTCGCCGTTTCCTGACGAAAATTAAGTCACTGGTGTTCACAGCGTCGGCTCAGCAAACTCTTTTGGCACAACCCGCCGGCAGAACTTTTTACCCCCCTCCCGTGACGACGGTAAAGTGTGATTGGTCTGAAGTTTGTGGGCGTGTTTGTTTGTGCTGAAACTGAAAGAGCTCGGAAACTCAGAGAAAAAAAACTTGCTTGTAGAGCCGACTGTTGAAGCAGAGTTTTATAAAGTCAAACCAAGAAAAACTCATGGCATGTTTGTGCTGAAAGCATTATTAGATGCTGCATTTACTTCAACCACTCAGTAAAAAAGGGAAATAAATAAATAAGTAAAGACTCGCTCCCAGAGCCGACTCTTACCAGGAAGCAGAGTTTTATAAAGATAATCAAACCGTGAAAAACTCATCAGTGGAGATAAAACAGATGTTGTACACGGAGGAATCTGACTGATAAAAACTGTGGAGCTTTAACCAGGACAGATGTGGATAAATATGTCAGGTGAGTGACCAGTCTGACTTTTTCTGCATTGCCGTCTGTTGCGTGAAGAAACTCATGCAGTGACATAATGCTGCAGCGGGAGGGGGYTTTCCAGGAGCTCAGTGCGGGGTGTCTCAGCGACTATGAAAGTTACAGTATGTGAGAAAATGACTGCCGAACAACCACGTGACTGRGCGTTGACTCGTCGACATCGGAGGGAGTATGTTTTCAGCTTAAAGTGTATCTTACCCCGCTGTGAAAAGATAACTCCGCCCCCAAGGCGAAATTTGAAAAATGCATCAAAGTGGGTAGGGGAGGGGGTGTGGGTAGGGGAGGGGGTGTTAGAGAGCGGAGGTGTGGCCAGGATGAGAGAACGTGACAGGCAGCTAGCATTAGCATAATTGATGCTACATGGAGAGTGACCACAGTATTGCAGANGGTGTACCTAATAAAGTGGCCGGTGAGTGTATATAACACAGCAAAGTGTGTGAGTTACACAAGAACAGAACCAATTCAAACAGCAGACTGAACAAACAGGTTATATACAAATACATGCTTCTCCAGTGGTGAACCGTGACAAATCTATTGTTGTTCCTACCTACACATTTTCAGTCACTTCAACAAGTAAAAACAGGTAAAAAGTCAAACACAGAAAGGAAAAAGTGCAAATATTTTGGCGCCACTTTTCATTTTTTTAATTGTTGTTGTGTTTTGTCAGAAGTCTTCCCGCTGTCTTCTCTGTTTTCAGCTCAGCCTCTCGGTCCTCTCGTCACACCAGACGCCCTACTGGGATGAAGAAACAATGAGGACAGGAACAAAACAAACAAAAAGCATAAAAATTAGTGAACAGACATGAGCAGAACAACTCCATTTATTTTTTTATTTTTATTTAACCTTTATTTTTAACAGGAAAAACATTAAGAAAGTTTCTTATTTACGATGTTGGCCTGAGAGCGCAAAAACACTTAAAACACTTAAAAATGTGAAGATGGGGAAGGGGAAACATCATAAACAGTACATAAAACATATAAAATGAACATTCATTCTTTAAAACAGTTAACTCCTTAAAAAGATCCTTTAGTCTGGGTTTAAAAGCAGGAATAAAAATCAAAGTGCCAAGATGCAGTGTAGTTTGGTAGAAGGTCCAATCATTTGCTGCAGCAAAGCAGAAAGACATGAGGCCACAGGAAGACTTGGTTTTTGGGACTTTCAATCTAAGGTGGGAGGAGTGAGTATTGTACCTTGAGGGGGGTTCTRGTAGTAATTGATTTAAATATGGAGGTGAAAGACCTAGTAGGGTTTTGTAAATGAACAAGAGACAATGGGCATTATGGTGAGACTGCGAGGAAAACTAATTCACTTGAGTGTATAACAGACAGTGGTGGGTTTTATATGGAGCATTTGTAACTAATTYAATGACAGAATGGTAAARTGAATCCAATTTTTGAAGACTTCCTTTGCAAGCATGGTGATAAACTGTCACCATAATCAAACAAAGGAAGGATACACAATTCAACAATGACTGTTTCAGCTGAAGATGTGAAAGATAAACGGTTTCTGTACAGGAAGCCAAGTTTTGATTTGACATTAGTTTGCAGCAGTAATATAGTGACAGAAGGACAGAGAACTGTCTAACCAGATTCCCAAGTATTTATTTATTTTTATTTATTTATTTCAAGTTTATTTATATACTGTAACTCCAAGTCCCAACATCCGTTGTCTCAGGACACTGTAGATAAAAAGAACAATGTAAAGAAGAAAGCAGCAGATTGTGT